CAGAAGGTACGGAGGCAGCAGCGCCCCTGGTGCTGCTGCTGGTGCTGCTGCTGCTGCTGCAGCAGATATGCGTACAGACAGCAGGAGGAGGCCCCCTGGGGGGGGCCCCCGCGATGGGGGGCCCCCAGCAGACAGCTGGGGGGGGGAGGCCCCCTACTATGCTAATAAAGCCATCAACGTCAGAGACAGAAGCGGAAAGATGCGGTCCTGCTCGTGAGCCTGCTGCTGCTGCTGCTGCTGCTGCTGTTGGTGCTGCTGCTGTTGGTGCTGTTGCTGCTGTTTGTGCTGTTGCTGCTGCTGTTGCTGCTGTTGCTGTTGCTGCTGCTGCTGCTGCTGCTGCATGTGTTGCTGCTGCATGTGTTGCTGCTGGTGCATGCGGTGCAGCAGCAGCGGCGTGCCCCCAGGTGACGCGAAGAGCCCGTGGGTGGTTAGTGCTGCGGTGTACGTACACCCGGAGCAGCAGCTGCAGCGGCTGGTTGATGGCTTTCAGCAGTTTGCTGCTGTTGTAAGAGAGACGCAGGCGAGGCAGCACAGAGAAGAAAAACAAAGACAAGAGAAGCTCCAGCTGCAGCACCAAGAACACCATGAACGCAGACAGCAGCAGCAGCAGCAGCAGCAGCAGCAGCAGCAGCAGGAACAGCAGCAACAGCAACAGGTTGCTGCTGCTGCAGCTGACACGCAACAACAAGCAGAAGCGAAACAGCAGCAGCAACAGGAAGAACAGAAGGAGCAGCAACAACAGGAGCAGCAGCAACAGGAGCAGCAGCAGCAGCAGCAGCAGCAGCAAGACGAACAGCAGCAGCAGCAGCAGCAGCAGCAGCATTCTGTTGAAGGCACCTCTCCAATCCCGGCTGCATCCACCTCCCCTTCCTCCTCCTCCTCAGCAGCAGCACCAGCAGCACCAGCAGCAGCAGCAGCACCAGCAGCAGCAGCAGCAGCAGAGGAGAAGCGAGTGAATCTATGGCCCTCGCGGCTGCCGCGGCCGTGGCGGGGGGCCCTGGGGCCCCGCCCCCGCCCCGCGCTGCTGCTGACGTCTCTCCCTAACCTGCGTTGTTATATACTGCGAAAGCTGCTGCTGCAGCACCTGAAGCGGTGGGGGGCCCCCCCCTGCGCTCTGCTGCTGAGTGAGATATATGCATGCATACATACACGGGGTGGGGTTGCTGGGTGGTTATTTGCTGCTGCTGCTGCTCCTGCTGCTGCTGCTGCTGCTGCTGCTGTTGTTGTTGTTTCAGTTCTGTCTTCTTGTGCGGCTCCTTGAATCATCGTCTGTCTCCTTTTCTGTCTCCTTTTTGTCTCCTTTTCTGTCTCCTTTTGTCTCTTTCTGTCTCTTTCTGTCTCCTTTTGTCTCTTTCTGTCTCTTTCTGTCTCCTTTTGTCTCTTTCTGTCTGCACCATATGTCTCCTTTTGTCTCTTTCTGTCTCCTTTTGTCTCCTTTCAGGTGTATGTGCATCGAGCGGGCGCTGCGGTGGTTGGGGTTTGCTGCTGCTGCAGTCAGCTGAGCAGCTGAAGCAGTTTCTGCGGCTGCCGCTGTTTGCCTGGACGGTGGAGGATGCAGCAGAGACTCTTGCTTCTCTTAGAAAGCAGCAGCAGCAGCAGCAGCAGCAGCAGCAG